GTACACGTTTTCGCCACGTTCCTTGAGGCTTGCTTTGAACCTAGCTACGACGTTCAGGCTTAGTGCTGTCTGTCTCGAAGAGCCGTGCACAGCCTGCAATGTTACCAAGGCCTTGACTGTGATTATTCCCGTGTTAAACGTCGGTGCCGTAGTAGCCTTGAGAAGCAGTTCCGGAGAAGACCCGGGGAATCGGCTGCTAAACTGAGGAAGTATTCCACCGATGCAGTTGGTGTTACCACATGAGGTGCTTAAGAAGGCGCTGAACAGAGGATTGTTAGCGCTGACCTGGTAGTCGAACGTGCCGTGTCTAAACATGTGGTAGAACATTGAGTTGAATACGTAGTCGGTGAGGTACAAGTTGACCATCTTGTTTGTTCGCATACCGGTGGATATTTTTTTCGGAAAAAATGGGGTTCCGCCCTTTCCACCCCAGGAAATTTCTCCGCGAGACCAAATGTCAAACATATGACTGTTGGGCACAATTGGATTTCGCACGAGGCCGTAATCGAGAATGACATTTCTTGCCAAGTCTTCGCTGAATGTTTTTCTATTCGCCAGCAAAAGATCAAGGTAGGTTTTTGCTTTGGAGGTAGAGGCTCCTTTTCCACCAGCCAGCATGCTTTCCAGTAAAGCCATTTGAGTCGGAAACTTCTTTAAATAGTTATTGAGAACTTTCACGCCTTTGGCTTTCAAAAGAAGACACATATTCTCGTTCATAGCATTTCTCATGTTCTCTGCAATCGCTTCTTCGTTAGTCACCGACTTTCCTGTGCCGCTGATCTTCAAGTACAAAAATTTCACCTCGCCGCCACAGTCAATGATTCGAAGGGCAGGCTTTCCTTCAGGAGTGGCACGGATGTGCAGACTGACACTGACGCTCATCTTTTTGATGGTGATCTTGATATCGGATTCTCTGAGGCTATCAATATTCGTGTGCAGGTGTGCCATAATCGTAATATCCAGGTCTTCGAAGATGATCTTCATCTGAGCGCGGTAATTCGGCAGTAACAGAACCTCGAAGCGATTTGGAGGGCGGAAGTAAGTGACGCGGATGTTGGTGACGCTGAGTTTGATCGATCGGATCGTAGCATCGATCTTGTTCTTCAGTTTCAGCTTTGGCAACTGTCTGCTCGCCACCGCCACGGCGGCCCTCTTGAACTCGCTGATGCCCTTGTCCGTGAACTGGACGATCATGCCTGCGTTGCGCTGACCGGTGATCGGCGGGGCGGCGAGCAACAGCCACATGCAGCATAGTGACAATGCAGAGAAGGACAGGGTCGACGACCGAGGTACTTCTTCCATGGGCGTTGCGAATCCTTCGCTGACAAAAATCACCGTGCCTGTGTTCAACTGCTCACAGCGGTCACACCGACTCCTGTTGATGCGCATGCTATTAGATCCTACCGACGCATACTCGCGTATTCGACCAGCCACAACTGATCATGTGATAAGCGTACTTCATTCCTTACTTTATTCTGTACACCGTCGCATGATATCAATGATAATGCGGCGATGACTGGATTCAAAATCACTCGAGCATGAAAGAAGCCGGTAACTGTTTTTCATCACTTGTGCCCGTGTGCACACCTCAACCTAATTACGGGCTGATGCCAGATCTCGTTTGTGATAACAGTCAAACAACAGTATAAACTGGAACAGAGAGATGTTTTCTTAAGTCTGCTTCAAGTTACTGCGAAACGCGGGTCTCAGCTGGCAATGAAACCTTTACTGACTAATCAAAAATCTTAATTATTTTGTCATTAATGCAAAAACAACGTGAGATTCTCCTTCAACTGAACTTGAATGGTGAATCTGATTAATCCGAATTTCAGCTATAATTTTGCATATATGAAGATATCGAAACCTGGCTATTATTAAACGGTGTGAAAGAGTACCTGGCTGTGCCTGACAGACGCTGTTTTTCTGAAACTCTGGTTGTGTTCCTATGCAATTCAGCGTAGGCCTTTACAGGAACTCAAGCCATCCGATTGGTGATTTATTATTACTAAAGTCTGTTTTGTAATTTAGTTTATTTAAGAACAAACATTTCTTTCGTGACAACCTGTAATGGTGGCATTGCAGAGTGGCGGTCGGCGGCTGTCATCGAATATCTGCCGTTTGAACCGAAAACTTAAAGGCAAAACTGGGCCATCGGAAAGTAGAACAGTTGTTTAAGCCATTGCTTTGCTGCGATCTCGCTGCTCCACCGTTGTACACAGCTTCACTGCAAACGAGAGGAACAAAAGTCACCGACGTTTTTTCATCGACTCGAAGTCTTTTCGAAAGATTTCGAGACTGCATCAGCCTGACGCGTTCACTTGTTCTTCAATGATGTCCCCAGAACGATGTACAATCAATTGCACTCAGACTTAACATCAAGGACGTATTGGTGAAATGCAATTTCTTCTCACTTTCTCTGAGTGATCACTATATCGACGTTGTTGCCTCCAAGAAGCACACGCAGACGCCGAAGCAAAGGTGTCACTCAACAAGATCAATGAACAAGAGTTCATCGCCGCTGTGCACCATCCGAAACGAGCAAGCACAAATGGCATAAGTACAGCAGCTGTAAAGTGGGCAGTGTCAGCATAACGAACGTCTGCAAGCAGCCAAAGCAAAAACACATCAGCGATTATGTCAACAAATCACCCCTAGACCATGTTGGAGAATTCAACAGCCGCCACACTGTGAGACCACTGAAAGAACGGCAACGTCCGAAAGAGACTGGTGGTGTGGGCATCCACAGAAGAACGCAACTTGCGTTTAGCCCAACAGCAACGCACAGTTGCATGGTTCAGACATTTGAAGAGTGAGTCCTTCGTGGACCTCTGTTTCCCTGTTTCACTGACAACATCGAAACTCTGACCTCAGCCAGTCACACGATATGGGACAATTTCCCACAAAATCAGCCCCAACCGTGTCCATAATCCATACTCGGATCAAAGTGCCAACAGTGACGTCAAAACTGACTTTGGAACTTTTCGAAAACTTGCTGGTCATCTTTACTTCAAAAACGGACAGCCAAATCATTTCCATCATTCCTAAACCCAAGGATTCGCCTGCCACTGTCACCGTATCTGAGATTTACATGGATTTTTTTTTGAAAAACCCTTAGGACTTTGTACTCCCAATTTAAAACCTGTTCTATGCTTTCGTTATATTGATGATATCTTCGTCCTCATTAACGAACATAATAATTCACTCAATTCATTTCTCGCATACCTAATTCAATAGAACCTACCAATCACTTTACATTTACTTTGAAAAAATAGTAGTATGTTACCTTTTCCTGACATCTTCGTTAAGCGTAGCGCTGATTGATCCTTTAAATCTTCGATATGTACAAAACTTAGTCAATCATTGCTACTGAAATCCTTTCTCCTGCGGTCTTTTTACTAGCATAAAATGCATTCGTTTCAGAGCATCCCATGCTATAATCACAAAAGCCTTCCATATGAAGAAATTGAATATCTTTGTGAGACATTCCGTGAAAGCGGTTACGCAAAGGGTTTAATTCGATCTTTGCTCACGTATCCCATTCAAGGACCTTCCCTAAACATGAGTTTCAGTATCTCAGTCACTATTCCATATATCTGAAGAATAGTCTAGTATCCATATTAGGAATATCTGAAGAAAGTTCTAGCAAAACATAGACTCAATGTATTCATTTCTTCAGTCCTCAGTTTAGGTTCTGTGCTTTACATGAGATTTAACCAATATCGGCTATTGCTACTCAAACGGAATGTAGTCTCTTCAGTCCAGTGTTAAGGTTGTGATTAGATTTATGTTGGGAACACTTTTAGAATTTTGAAAGTTCGAACAGGTAGACACATTCCGGAGTGGGGGGAGGCATTGCGAACAGTCACCTAGAACATGGTTACCATCTAGTAGTAGATGATGTTTCAGTGGTCGATTACGAAGACTATAAAGATGTGCTAAACCGGTGATCAAGAAATTGCTGCATACCTCAGCGAATAAGAAAACAATGACTGCACGGTGATGTGGTAACGTGGTAACTCCGTAGTTTCGTCAAACATCGCCAAAGGTTGGATTCTACTGTATCCCCTAACTAAAGCTATCTGAAGCGATTTATATTACTGTAACACTTATCGTTTATGCATTGTCCCGAAGAAAACCGCTCTTATGTGGCCGAAACGTCGACCATCTGTGTAATAAAGCCTTGTTTAACATCAATTTGCCAAAACAGTAGCGGATCAGGTCAAAATGTTCCATCTACAAATCAGGTTCTCGACTCCCTCAAGATCTGCAAGTTTCCCTGCATGCCAAAGATTAACATATCAATAGGTCCAGGTCCACCGTCGCTGATCAGGAACTGTTCAGAAGCACCTGTTTCCAGTTCAAGTCTTTTATGCGATTCCGGCAGAACCTATGTTTCTAAATTCAACGGAGCTGCTGGAGCAGCGTTCGTGTCATTCCTTCTTCTTATGAAGATTTTCTTAAGAGCAGGAAGATTTTGAAGGGAACACTGAGCTTCTTGCAACTGTGCATTTGTTAATCACCTGCACTGTCACCTCCAGTACACTCAATGGCTTACGAGCCCCTATCCGTGCATATTATTGCATATGCTTCATGTTAGCAGTGGGCACCGCATTGGCTACAGGCTTCACGCGGCCGCATAATTCTTCTTATTCCATTACATCGCAGACAATTCCGGGAGCCGTGCGAGCATTCTGCTTGAGTCATGTGCATGTTTATTCACTCTTCAGACTTTCTGACGTCGTGTCAGTTCTAAAGAGACCACCCCATCCTGACGGAGGGCTTTCTGGCTGCCACCTGCCATCAAACTGCTTTCAGTATCCGCTTTGTAAGGCGGCTATTTCCCATTCGTTCCCAATGAGCGCACCACTTTAAACATCCAGTTTTCAGCCGGTCGGGAATCTTA